AAGTAATTATTTTATTTTATTTTTTTCTCGAAAAGAATATATACCATCAAAAGTAAATGCGTTTTATCGTAAATGGCTTACAAAGAATTGTTCTACAGTTTTTACGATTTCCTACGTAAAAGAGCGTTCTTAAATTTATCACGTTGCTCTAATCAGCGATTGTACTTCAACATTATCGTATATATAAACATGCAAATTTACATACAAACAAAATCGTTTCCTGTTATTCAAGTATATAACATTGATTTTGAAGAGTATTGTCCTGCATTCACTGTTTGGCAGTCGAAAAGGACTCGTTGCGACGTAACAGAACATTTTTCGTGTGTAACCAATATAACTTCTAATAACAAACATACTATTACGTACGTACATTTTGTATATTTTTATAATTTGTATTCAATATAAATTATACAATGAGACCGAAGACTAAAACGTTTTGTTGTTACAAAATAGTGCACTAATTTGTACAACAGCAATGGATACGATTTTTGAAACGGTGCAGCATTTATCTAATACTTATTCTCTGCTAGCTGTCTTCGTCGTTACGTCGCTGATTGCAACGCATCTTTACATCGAGAATTCTCGACAAGTTCGTATTGCAAACAAGTTACCAGGTATGTGCGCACAATACGACTGCTTGTTTTTCTTTTCTTTTGTTGAAATATTATTTATTACGTCGTTTACATTTTGTTTCGTTAATGTCAGGTCCGCTAAGTCTACCTTTAATAGGTAACGCATATTTGGGTATAGGACAGGATCCTCATTCTATGTACAAACTTGCTGACAAATATCACAAACAATACGGATCGGTAGTAAGAGCGTATTTTGGAACGAAAGTGCTAGTATTTTTAACACACCCGCAAGATATCGAATTGATTTTGGGAAGTTCCGTACATCTCGACAAATCTATAGAATATCGGTAATAAAAGAATGGTTCAGATACAATTACAAAATACTATTTCACGCGTTAGTTTTATATATAAAGATCCATATTTAATAATTTCTTGAATTTCTTCTGAAAGTGAAACATATGCCGATTGGAATCCAAACACGATTGGACGGTTATTGTAGTCTAGTTGAATTGAGAATTAATATTATTAGCTAATTACAAACGTTTTGATTGTGGTTTCGGTTTTTCTCAATGAATAAGTAAAAAATCAGTAAATATAAACAATGTCAAAGTAAGCTAAAACTTGTGGTGGTCAACCGCACGTTGAAGTGTTAAATGTAAAGTATTAGTACGTTTGTAATTAGGTAATAATAATAAATTCTGAATTCAACTGGACACACCAACAATTGTGTTTGGATTTAATCGGTCTATTTCTCATTTTCAAAAGTATTTAACATTTAGAGCCGTCACACAATTACTACATTGATATTTTCATATTAAATATATTTGTTGTTGATATTCTCTTGCGTCATACTGAGAATCCGCTTAAACTTTCCACTGCAGATTTTTTCAACCATGGCTTGGCGACGGTTTACTGATTACAAGTGGAAAAAAGTGGCTCAGGCACAGAAAGGTGATAGCACCTACGTTTCACATAAGTGTCCTGAAGTCCTTCGTGCCTCTGTTTTACGAAAACAGCATAGAACTCGTAAGACGGCTTCGCGATAAAATCGGAAAAGACTTTGATTGTCACGATTATTTGTCGGCAGTAACAGTTGATATTTTAACCGAAACGGTAATGGGAGTTAAACGAGAAAAACGGCCAAAATCATGATATGATTATGCTATGGCTGTAATGAAGTGAGTTATAATTTGTTTCTTCAAAATTGTAGTAAACACATATTCCTGTCTTGTATCAGTATCTTTGTATTTATTATATATATATATAAGACAACCATAAAAAATACATTTCTTGCGTAAAATTGTGTTTCAATTATACAGATTGTCTGATATTATACATCGAAGACATTATGACATGTGGTGTTTGGTGGCATTCAAGTTAACTAAGTATTACCGTCTTCAAAAGAAACTCCTTAAAATCGTTCACGCGGTAACAAATACCGTGATCAAAGTAAAATCAGAGGATGTCAAGAAGAAACTTGCGACGAAGCAAAAGGAAAACCAGCAAAACGAGAAGCCAATGGAAAAAGCGAAAAACGATACCTCCAATTACACAAAGTTGCACTACGTTAAGGACGATCTTGATGACATCGACGAAAACGATGTGGGCGACAAAAAGCGACTTGCCTTTCTGGAAACATTAATTACCATGAAACAGCAAGGTGGACAGATGACTGACGAAGAAATCTGGGAAGAAGTGAACACCATCATGTTTGAGGTGTCACAGTTTTTGAGCAAATATGAATATTTCTCAATTAATCTACTTATAATTCATCTTCCCAATTTCACTTTTCTTTCTTTTATTAAAAACTTATGCGCATTACGTTAATAGGATCAGTAGTTGTTAATAGAATGCGTTAATTGTCATATTACAGGGACACGACACCACTGCAGCTGGTTCTAGTTTCGTACTGTGCGTGTTGGGATGTTTGCCTGATGTACAGGTGCGTACATGCTAACGATTCGCTAGAAAAAAATAAAAAAAAGAACATTCTCTATGAAACAGAGAAATCGCTGTTTTTTTACTTGATACTTTTTCCCACGCAGGCTTGCGTGCACCAAGAACTGGACGCGATTTTCGGCGACAGCAACAGACAGTGCACCTTCTCGGACACGATGGAAATGAAATATCTCGAAAGAGTAATTCTGGAGACTTTGAGACTTTTCCCGCCAGTACCTATAATTGCCAGGCGTTTTAACGAAGATGTTAAGTTAGGTGCGTTAATTCAAACGCAACATTTTATCGCAGAAAAACCAAATCTTGATAAATAATCACAGGAATTATGTAAGTTTTCTTATGTGTTTTAGTTACGAACAATTACGTGATTCCAAAAAACGTCACAATTGTGATTGGACAAATAATGACGCATCGTTTGGAGGAGTTCTACCCGAATCCCGAGAACTTTAATCCGGATAACTTCTTACCGGAAAGGATGCAGAAAAGACCGTATTACTCTTATATTCCTTTCAGCGCCGGACCAAGGTATTTAATACAAAGTCAAAGAACGCGTTTCAAATTATGTATAATTCTATTACTAAACTATAAGCAATTACGGATCGCGCAAGAATATTTACTGCATGAATTCTGTTTGACTGATATTATAATTTCAAAGNTCGTGCGTGGGACGTAAATATGCCATGCTGAAGCTGAAGGTTCTACTATCGACAATATTGAGAAATTATCGCATCATTTCCGACGAACATTATAAAGATTTTAAGCTGCGAGCTGACATTATCTTGAAAAAGGACAACGGATTTATGATCAGAATCGAGCCGCGCAAGTCGGCAGCGTCTCCCGAATCAAACTCGACTCCGATTTCTGTAAAAGCGTAAATTGTCGATCAATCGCGATTGATCACTAATCTGTATTTAGGTTTAAGAGAAGTTCACTGATATTATTGTATCAAAGATTTCGTCGGGTAGCGGTTGTCACAGTGATTTTATTAAGACACATGTTTATCCAGTTTTTTTTTCTTTCAGATTTCTCTCGAAATATTCGCTTCTTTATATTTTTTTACAAAAATGTACTTGTAAGACACCTGATATTTATTTTTACACTTACATCTTTTTAATCTATTTGATTTTTGTTCTATTAAATTTATTTAAATATCGTGTCAGCAAATATAATACTACGAAATAAAGAGTCTGACATATTNGCATCTTACGTTGTTTTAATAACACTGAGTGTGTAATGTTTTTTTTAAATTAATGTAATTACAGTAACGATTTGAGCAATTCAATGTTCAATTCTCATTTATAGATATATGTGTGGCTATGNATATGAAATTATAACATATGTACAATTAAAATAAAATAAAATTATATAAAATTCTGGCATATACATATATAAATTATCATATGTACAATTCAAATAATATTTTCTATTTTATTTCTCTTCATGTTTCTTTTACCTGTATTGAACATGACACATCCGAGATTTTTGAAGAGAAAAAAAGAATTATAGAAAATATATCGTGCGTGACAAAAATTCTATCGTGATTTGATTTTCGACGGCAACATTTCGCGTTATCGGAAAATCGATTGCCAAATTTAAAAATAGTCCGAGCGATCATTAACAGAAATGAGTGTAGGTCAACCAGCGACCCTCGACCCTGAAAACCCCAATGCAAATTGCAAACGAGCGAAATAACGAAGAAATGGGCAGAAGAGCGATGACAACCAAACCGTCGTCGTTACTTACTCCACAATTCTGGTCATTAAATTGTAATGAATTATCGCCGACCAATGTAGTGTGTAAAGAAAAATGTTTCAAGGTGTATTTATACGAAACGTAAATTTCACGCTTCGTTCGAAGCAAAATGATTATGTGCAAAGTATTAAAACTCGGTTTTGTTTGTTTCAGACGATTTTCAAGTTCTTCTCGACTTCTCCCCCGGCTACTTTTTTCGCCGACAGTGATGTCGAGTCGAGCACGTTATCTACCAAGAAGCGATTAGAGGAGTTAAAAAAGATTTACATTGCGACTGACGACGACGCGTCGCCGCTTTCCATGATGCTGAAAACGATAATATTGAATAACATTGTATTGTGTCATCCACAAACAACCGACAATGATAATTGGCCAGTCATGTCAGTGACTATGTTACCGTAACAATGAAATTTAAAGATAAACGACGATATAAAAATATATATACTAAGTAATTATTTTATTGTATTCTTTTATTGAAAGCAATACGATACTTTCGAAACTCTGTGCAATTTATCGTAAATCGCTCGTTGTTTTTATTGTAACGTAAATGAGCGTCTCTAAATTTACTACGTTGCCAAAATCAGCGATAGTACATAAACATTATCGTATAAATTCCCATGCAAATTTACATACAATCAAAATCATTTCCTCTTATTCAAGTATATAAACTTGATTCTGAAAAGTATTGTACTGCATTCTCTGTTTGGAAGTCGAAAAGGACTCGTCGCGACGTAACAGAACATTTTTCGTGTGTAACGAATATAACTTCTAATAACAAACATACTATTACGTACGTACATTTTGTATATTTTTATAATTTGTATTCAATATAAATTATACAATGAGACCGAAGACTAAAACGTTTTGTTGTTACAAAATAGTGCACTAATTTGTACAACAGCAATGGATACGATTTTTGAAACGGTGCTGCATTTATCTAATACTTATTCTCTGCTAGCTGTCTTTGTCGTTACGTCGCTGATTGCAATGCATCTTTACATCGAAAATTCTCGACAAGTTCGTATTGCAAACAAGTTACCAGGTATGTACGCACAATACGACTGCTTGTTTTTCTTTTCTTTTGTTGAAATATTATTTATTACGTCGTTTACATTTTGTTTCGTTAATGTCAGGTCCGCTAAGTCTACCTTTAATAGGTAACGCATATTTGGGTATAGGACAGGATCCTCATTCTATGTACAAACTTGCTGACAAATATCACAAACAATACGGATCGGTAGTAAGAGTGTATTTTGGAACGAAAGTGGTGGTATTTTAGCACACCCGCAAAATATCGAATTGATTTTGGGCAGTTCCGTGCATCTCGACAAATCTATAGAATATCGGTAATAAAAGAATGGTTCAGATACACTTGAAAACGCTAATTCTCACGTTATTTTTATGTATAAGGTTTCATATTTAATAATTCTAATGTTTACACATAGACCAATTGGAATCAAAACACGACTGGACGGATATTAAAGTGTAGTTGAATTGAAAATTAATATTGTTAGCTAATTAAAAACGTTTTGATTGTGGTTTCGGTTTTTCTCAATAAATAAGTCAGAAATCAGTAAATATAAACGATGTCAAAGGAAGCTTAAACTTGTGGTGGTCAACCGCACGTTGAAGTGTTAACTGTAAAGTATTAGTACGTTTGTAATTAGGTACTAATAATAAATTTTCAGTTCACCTGTACACAACACAAATTGTGTTTGGATTCAATCGGTCTATCTTTTATTTTCAGAAGTATTTTACATTTTGAGCCGTTACACAATTACTACATTGATATTTTCATATTAAATATATTTGTTGTTGATATTCTCTTGCGTCATACTGAGAATCAGCTAATACTATCCACTGCAGATTTTTTCAACTATGGCTTGGCGACGGTTTGCTGATTGCAAATGGAAAAAAGTGGCTTAGGCACAGAAAGGTGATAGCACCTACGTTTCACATAAGTGTCTTGAAGTCTTTCGTACCTCTGTTTTACGAGAACACCCTTACGAAAAAGAACTATTGCCGATTACATATAAATATTACTGGCAATTACACAAGAATATTATTAGGTATTACAGAAAAAATTATTGGATATCACAGAAAATATTATTGGATATCACAGGAAGTATTACAGGTTATCACTGAG